AGAGAGAGAGAGAGAGAGAGAGAGAGAGAGAGAGAGAGAGAGAGAGAGAGAGAGAGGAAGAGAGAGAGAGAGGAAGAAAGAGAGAGAGAGAGTGAGGGAGCGAGAGAGTGAGTGAGTTGGAGAGAACTCTTTAGATAGCTCTAGAAGGTTATAGGACAAGGATAAGCAACAACTTTAGTTAGAATAGATGAAAAGTTGAAACTTATACATAAATAGACCCATATGAGCTCTACATAACACTTTAGATTTAATAAATAATTAATAAGCTGCATTTTTGATCTTCGATAAATATCGATATCGATCCACTTTTGATATAAACCCTCCTTTGTTTATAAAGATCTACCAACAAAAATATCAATTACTCCCCAGATAGAGATCTCGACACATATTAAACCAGGTAAAACTATATACACTTCCAAATTACATCAACTCCATTTACAGGGTACAGCCTAGTCCATCAGTCTCCGCAATAACCGTTTCTTCGACAAAGTTCATCAAATTTTTGGCATTAATTAACACGATTTCGTCTGGTGGCTGATGATTTTTACGACTACTTAACCTGTTTGCCGAACAACACGCAATGGGCCAACTCATCCACTCGCCCATATAGATGGATAGCTGGGCAGATGCCAAGCGAGGTTACGACGACTCCAAAGTTGAGCAAAGTTTGCATTACATTTGTTTCTTCACAGTCTAGTTAGGATTTGCAGCACAGCGCTAATGCGTTAGGCCTAACTGAATATATACAAATGGTAGCAAACTTGGGTATCTACTTAACTGGTTCAAGATCAGACGCTGTAGATCTTTGACTAAGTTTAGTTGTTGCCTCCATTTGAGCTGTGTTTCGCTTGTTGTTTTGGTTGCTGTTGCCATGTTTCCACCAGCTGGCGACTTCTATGGCCTAAGCTCAATGCGAATGCGTCTAAATTGCCAGCGACCCCGTTGTGAGCACATTAGAAAGTGTATTTGGTATTTAGATGGATATATTTAGATGTATTTAGATGTATATATATATATATATAGTCGAAACTCAAATTTTGGGCTGATGCGACTAGAGCAACGATTTGCTAATTAGTTTGCTTAAAACGAGAGAGAAAGAGAGAGAGGGAGAGAGGCAGGGGGTAGAGGCAATGATCGTAAGGAATGCTATCATTATAGCCCCAAGAACTGCATCATCTTCATTATTGTCTGTCTTAAATTGTTTATCATCATTAGCAGTATGTGTTTCAATATAATTATCATTTTTATTACGATTATCATAATCGACACTGTTATGATCGTCATTAGCATTGCCATAATCATTAGCATTCTAATTTGTCGTCATATAAATATTTATTAATATTGTCATTGTTAATTGTCATTCTCATTAATATAAAGCATCAGCATAATAATTGACATTAGCATTTGTTCTCATATTGTTCTCATATTGTTCTCATTATCATTACGATTCTTCTTTTCAATGTGCAATTATCAGATTGTCATTGGCATTCTCTTTATTATTTCAAACCTATATACAATATATAATCTAATAATATCTAATAATACCCAAACGTTTCCGCTTTCAGATCAACATCTTGAGCTTCTATTCTGAAAGATCTTCAGTCTTGGACTTCAAGCTGCTATTGTCTAAGTAGACTTGAGTAGTTTGATTTTTTAAAGATGCATTGAAGTTTTCTTGGCTAAATTTGAGCGACACGTCAAGAGTTTCAGCAACGAAGGTGTCTCATAAAAAACATAAACGAATGTGGGTTTACGAAATATCCAACCGAATCTGACCGCAAACAAAGAGACTAATGCATTTATAATTATTCCACAAAAGGCTGCGGTTCAATTACCTTTCAGTTTTGAGCCACATGAAGAGCGCTACTTCCGAGAATTAAGTGTAATGCAATTGAGCAACGGGAATGCCCCTAACATTGCAAAAAAAAAAAAACTAGAGATCTAGTATAACAAACACATTTGCTTGAAAAAGTTTAGAGCTGAACACAAAAACAAACTAGTTAGTCTAGGGAATACCGCTAATAATAAACACATTTAGGGAATGCCTTCAATGTAGCTGCTTGTAAATGAGCGCATTGATTATGCATTCACTGAATAGCTTTTAATGAACGATCGATCAAGTCAGCTTATAAGTCGAACGAGCAAGCAGCAATATGATATATATACTATATATACATATATACTACAATCGTATCTATGATTCATTTGGCTCTAATAAATACACATATTTGGCTCAAATCATTTATGCCCTCATCCATATGTATATAGATACATATATCCGTATTTCGTTTGATTTAACATCTCAAAAAGGCGCACAAACAAATCAACTGTTGACGTCATCTCGCACGTCTGTCTATATAGACATATATGCTCAGTCTATAGTATATGCCGTTACGCGTAGAGCTCTGTCAAGCCAAATAGGGCTCGCACAATAAGCGCATCTGCTTTCTAACCAACCCCCACAGAATATGGTCAGGCAGTCAAATTGAGTCGAATGCTCGTCACGTAACGCTCATCCATTGTCATGCACAGTTAGTCAGCCGAGAGACCCAATAACTCCCCGACACTTGCGACGCGTCGCTCAATATTGACCAAAAATTTTTACATTGTTTGCACTAAAACTAACAAGAATATTCAAAGCTTAAGAATTGCGCAGCACAGAAAATATGAATGAAATAGTTGAAGAGCTTTAAAAGATATTAAGGTAAGGGAGATAAATATTATAAAATAAAATAAATATATAAAAAATAAAATATAATAAATAAAAAATAAAAAATAAAATATAATAAACTTATAATAAATAAAAAATAATAATAATAATTTCAAGGTAAGGGATATAAATAAATACTGCAACAAATAAAACAAAATAAATAATATAAAAATATATTTAAAAAAAAAATAAAATAAAATATAATAAAAAAAAAATAAATAAATAAAATAAAATATAGGAAAATTATAATGAATAAACAAAAAAAAAAAATATTTTCGAGGTAAGGGATATAAATAAATACTGCAACAAATAAAATAAAATAAATAATATAATACAAATATAATAAATAAAATATAATAAATAAAAAAATATATAATAAAAATATAATAAATACAAAAATTAATAAAAAATAATAAATATAAATGAGTGGAAAATTAAATAGAAAAAGAGTATTTGGTATTTAAATATAATATAAAATTTTTGAAAGGAAATATATTTAAAATATAAATTTACAAATAATACCACAATTGGTATATAGCACTCTGCACCACTTGAACTCTTATTGTTTTTGAGATACCAGTAAAAAATAATCTTGACACTTTATAGTACGAACGTCTACAGGTGTATATGTTCGGAATTTCAAGCCTTTAGCTCTCATTACTACTCTTCTCAGTTTCGTGAATCATTATAAACATTATAAAAATTCCGTAATATTATAGTTGGAAACTCAACAGGAAATATTAAACTGAAATTCGTTTGGCAAATATTGATCAACAAAATATTATAATAATAATAATAATAATAATAATAGTAAAGTCATAGTATGCGAAATATTCAAAGGTTTTTTATGAAGGCGAGAGCATAAAGGTAGCCATAATTAATGACCAAATAAAAGTGCGCAAATGAATTCGATTTCATGTGAATGTACATATATATAAATATATATATAGGTGTATATATAAGTGACTCTGAATAAATGTGAATTTTGTGTATGCGTTTCACTTGTTTCTTTGCGCTAATGGCTTTGCAACTACACTAGCAGATAGTTACATATACATACATATACATACATATATAATCTATCTATATACACATCTCACTGAAGGAAACTAGACAGCAATGTTGCCGTGGGTCAAACAGATTTTGAAGCCCGAAATAAATGATAATTAACAATTTACACAACACACTTTATATTTGTTTTCCTTCGCTCTATACCTCTGTTCCCCAATCTATCTCTCTCTCTCTCTCTCTCTCTCTCTCTCTACATGGTTTACCTATTTCGCGTGCTTCTTAACTTGATCTATACAATAAATAATGAAATTGACTAGGCAAAGAGATTTGGGACACTTTGGAGATGAATCACTTGTTGGCACAATTAATATGGAAAATAAATAAAATTCGCCTGGAGCTGACGCAAATCGAGCTGATCCCCATGCTCTGGAGTTGAAAGAGTTTCTATAGTGTGACTACACTCAGCGAAAATTCGTGTCTTCCTTTAAGCACATCACAGCTTGAGAACTTCAGCTAAAACTTTTCCTCTTTGCTATTTTTCATAAATTAAAATTCCTTTATTAGTTATTTATTATTATAGATTTATATACATATATTTTTAGTTTATTTTTTTGTCTCGTTTCGTGTTTCGTGTCACGCGCCCAGCTCTAGCCGTAGCTGCTCGCGATCTAACGCCATGGAATCTTGATTGGCGAGCGATTGCGCTGCCTGGCGTGGGCGACCCGTGGCATTGGCTGCGGCTGCGGCTGCTGCTTAGATTTCTGCTGCTGCTGCTGCTGCTGCTCGCGACGCCCCCAATTGCTGGTTGGGACGCCCCCAGAACTCTGCCGCGAGCTGGACAAGGGTCGCGCCGAGACGGGCGCAGGTGCATTGTAGTGGCCGCCAAAGTAGGTGGGCGTGGGCGTGGCCGTGGGCTGCGGCCGGCTGCTGCTCGGCTTGCTGCCGTAGAGCTGTACGCGGGTGGGTGCACGGCCGCGGGCGGGCGCCGGCGACAGTTTGCCCGGCTCGCTGCCAATGTGCACCAGGGTCTGATAACGTCCGCCGCGCTGCTGCTGCGACGCCGACGGCGACTGTTGCTGCCGTTGCCGTTGCTGCTGTTGCTGCTGCCTGGCCTGGCTGCTCGCCAGCAGGCGCTGTGCATAGTACTCCGTGGTGGGCATCGGCTTGGCCACGCCCACCGGCACCAGCCGGCCCGGCGAGTGGGGCAATATGGAGTTCTTGATCTCGATGCGTATGGCGGAGGAAGGCGGCGTGGGCGTGGGCGATGGCGACATGCGGCGCAGCATGGGCTGGGCCACACGGAACGTCTCGTTGCGCTTGACGGGCGAGCGGGTGGCGGAGCGCGAGGGTCGATCGCGCAGCGGGGAGCGCGATTGCGGCCGATAGTTATCGTTGTCGAAGACCAGAAAATCGGGACGATTCTCCTTGGAGGCGCTGCGCTGACTGCTCGAAGGGGGCCGCGGCTCGGGCGGCGGCACCTCGACGAACCAGGCGGGATTGTGGGGCTGCTGCTGCTGCTGCTGCAGCAGTCGCTCGCGAAACGATTTGCGGAAACTGTTCAGTGTGACCGTTTTGTATTTGTCGCGCTCCTCCTCCTCCAGCAGATCGTCGTTCGAGTGGCTCTTCAGCTGCTCCAGCTGCTCGCGCAGATGCGTCGGCGTTTTGCTCTTGCGATAGGTGCCCGAATCGAAGCTGCCGCTGGAGCTGGACCCCAGGCTCGGCTGCCGCTGCATGCCGTCGGCCGGCGAGCCAGCGGCCTGCCTGCCAGCCTTGCCCTGCTGCTCGTAGAGGAAATTGAACGGATCGGCATGGGCATCGTAGTCGAGCATGCGATCGCCGTCGTTGCGCCACTTGTAGTAGGTGTTTGTGGCGGTGTCGCTCGGGTGGTGCTCGTAGCTGGCCGCCTCCTCGGGCGAGGGCTGCTTCTTGCGTTTGGTGAACGTGCTGAATTTGCTAAACACCTTCGATTTCTTGGACTTCTTCTCCAGGGTGCTGCTGTTCGACTGCTGCTGCTCCTCGTCGGAGGCGTTCAGTATGAAGGTGTCGCCGCGCTGCAGCGTCGAGCTGGTCGTCGAGCCACGCCGTGAGCTGATCACGCTCGCCGGCCGCGAGCCGCAGCTGCGCACGGGCGTCGTGTCGCGCGACGAACTCTTGCGGGACGAGGCCAGCGAGGAGCGGATGTTGCGAAAAAATGACATTGCACACGAGCCGAAAAGCGGGACGGGGCGGGGCGGGGCAGAGCGGGGCGTAGCGCGATTTAAAGCCCGCGCAAAGTTCAAGTGCAAAGAGACGAAGTGAAGCGCGTAACGGGTCTCTGTCTGGGGTCTGGTCTGTCTCAGCCAACTGCCGCGGAGCAACTGGCTGAGTCGGCTCAGCTATTATGCGGATCACTAGAATTTCAGCGGCAATCGGCTCGCTCAGACTTCGTGCTCAGTTCGCTTCGTGCTCGGGCGCTGTTTTTCCACTTTTTTGTTTTGACCAATTTGGCGTATACTTAACGTCATTATCGTGCTTATTATTATGGCCATATTTCGAGTGGCTATAGACGAATGCGTGCGTGTGTGTGTGTGTGAGTGAGTGACTCGATCAGCAGCTGTTTGCGTGGGCGTTACAAGTCAAAAAAAAAAAAAACAAAATCAAAACTTGTTTTTGGTGCCCGATTCTCAACTCAGATGCTTCGTTTCGTAATTTATGCAAGCAGAAAGCGCTCTAATTTGTTATCTGATGCAAAGCATCAACAGCTCATTTACAACAATTGCAACAACAACAACAATAGCAACACCTCTGCTGTGTTTAGAGGCGTTGTTTATTTGTGTGAAGTGCGAACTAAAACAAAGTTAAATTGTTTGACAAAACACTGCACAGTGGTTCAGACATGTTGAACAGCAAGCGAAATAATTTTGGTATAGAATTATATTCAAATATAGGCAAAAGCAGAGAAAGAGGGAGATAGAAAGAATGAGCAATAGAGACCGAGAGTGAGAGAGAGAAAGAGAGAGAGAGAGAGAGCACATAAGAAAGAGAGAGAGAGAAAAAGAGAGAGTGGGAGAGATAGGGAGAAAAGGAAGCTACAGAAAGAAAACGTTAGAAAGAGGGAAAGGGAGACAGAAAGAGAAAGGCAGACAGAAAGAGGAAGGCAGACAGAGAAAAAGAGAGAGAGAGAGAGAGAGAAAAAGAGACGGAGAGAAAGAGAAAATATGGTCTAAGATAACAGAATGAAATACAAAGAATATTCTTTAAGGATAGAAAGAGACAGAGAAGAAGTAATGAAAGAGCAAAAAATACAGAAAACAAACCCTTTAAACAATCATTGAGAAACGGGAAACAAACATAAGAACAGTAAGAAAGAATATGGAACCAACAATCTTTAGTTGTATTCTAATTTATGTAATATTTCATTTTCTTCAATACATTTGTTTCCTTCACTTCAGTGTACTCTCATCTCTCAGACAACAAATCGCATTTTGCTCAGTCATACAAAACCTAGCGCATACAGTATACAGATCAGAAAACAAGCATTACGAACAATTTATTCAGTTGAGTATAATCACCTCACAGATTTTACATAATGATTACAATAATAATTTATTATGATAATCACTTTGTGGCTGAGCATTGCCCCACTGTGCCGCGTTCTACGCGGTCTACACTTATCGATGGCTTTTGATGCTAGACGCTTCATTGTTCGGCTTAATGAGTGATTGAGTTTCGTGTGAGCACACACGAGTGTCTGCCATTCGATTTGCTTCGCTTCCGATTCCGCAAACAACAAAAGCAACAAAAGCAACAGCAAACAAGCCAAATAAACGGCTTATGGCAGTCATTAGATTGTATCTTCAGAGCAGTCAGCGCTGAATGCAGCAGCAGCAGCAGCAGCCGCCGCAGCTGTTTGTATTTAATTATTTATGCTGATGATTAAACAGATTAAGTACACCTGTTCGATTCCCACATGAATATTAATGCCTATGAAAGCCGTTAAATAAAGCCAATTTGTTGACCAGCAGCAGCGCAAAATATGTGTGTGTATGTATGTATTTATTTATTTATTTGTTTGCTCGCATTTTCAGCTCTTCGATAAGCCGATCTCACGTCGAATTTATCGCTGCCTGCTTTTGGGCGCGCACTTAACGCCCGACCACAGCGGCCGGAAAATAGGCAATGAAAATGGCTGCAGCAGATATCGTGAAATTTGAAATTCGCTGTAATAAATGGCTAATGGGAAATGCTGAATGGCGAACGGCGAATGGGTAATGGTAAGTGGAGGCCAGCTACCATTAGGAAAATCAAGTCATCCACACACCCGAGCAATCTCGGAATCGCAGCGGGCGCTGCGAAAAAGTTCACGCCATTTGCAGAGCCATAAACACGCACACGCACACGCACACACATCCCGAGAAAGAGGAGCAAGACACATGCACACATGTACATAGATACGTAAAGAACGAGGTGTGCTTCAAAAATTTGCTTTAGTGCGTGAGAATAGGATATATCATAAAAATAAATAATACTAAAAAAAAAGATAAATAAATAATAATAATAAAAATAAAAAAAAATTCCCAAAAAAATGTTAGTTAAAAAAAATTATATTATTTTAAAAATAAAATTTAGAAAAAAAATGAACAATTTCTCTTAAAAAATTAACAAAGGTCAAACAATGAAAATTAAATTTTGCTTATATATATATATTTTTTTTTAAATAATAATAAAAAAAAATAAATAAATAATAATAATAATAATAAAAAAAAAATTCCCAAAAAAATGTTACTTAAAAAAATTATATTATTTTAAAAATAAAATTTAGAAAAAAATGAACAATTTCTTTTAAAAAATTAACAAAGGTCAAACAATGAAAATTAAACTTTGCTTAGTAAATAATCTCTATAAATTCAGAATTAACTCTTCAGATAAGCATTAACTTCTCTCTCTCTCTCTCTCACTCTCTCTCACTCTCTCTCTCACTCTCTCTCTCTCCCTCTCTCTCTCTCTCTCTCCCTCTCTACAACTTTCGAGTTAGCCCACTATCAAGTGAAAATATGTAAAATTTGTGGTTTGTGCCTCACGCAGCAGTGGGTCAACCAAGCGCGTATATAGACCCATCCAAAGAAATATTACCAAAGGCCAAATGTGTTTATTATGGAGCACAAATGAGTGCAATGGTAATTGTTTATGCGAATAGCTCAAATACTTGTTGAATTATTTAAAAATGCGAAAAGCAAATAAACGAAATCTCCCAACGGCTAAAACAATAAATAAAAAACAAATAATTTAGCTTAAATTAACAAAAAAAAAAAAAATCTCTGATTGATTGAGAGCGAAATGCAATAAATTAAAAGTGCGATTTATGCATGAGGTTAAAGGGGAGGATAAACAGACAGGCAGTCTATCTCACTCACTCACACACACACTCTCTCTCTCTCTCTCTCCCTCTCTCTCTATGGATGATAGAGTGTGTGTGTGAGAGGGAGAGAGATATATTATATCTGTCCCAAAATGTGGCCAATTTTCGTGAATGGCCCAAATCAGCCATAAGTGGGCGCCAATACAACAACAACAACAACAACAACAACAATGTTACATTTTGATTGCTTTCTTCTATCTCTATTTTACAATACAACAACAAAATGTATCTGGTTATCCCTTGAGATACAATTGTATCGACGAATCGAATCGGCATTGATTGGGCCCCAACGAACATTTGACACATTCCAAATGCATTTTGTCCACACACACAGAGAGAGAGAGAGAGAGAGAGAGAGAGAGAGGGGGGGAGAGAGAGAGAAAGGGAGAGTGAGGACAGACGCACATGTGACGACCATTTACGCTGGCGTCTGCCATTATTTATCAGCTATTAAGTCATACCCAGCCACACACACACACACACACACACACATAGCTACATTTGACAGCTGCTGGTGGCAATGTCAGCCAACAAAAGGCAGCTCACATATTCGCCCCATTCATGCCAGCAACAGCAACAATCGCAAATAAGCCAAATCATGGGTGGGTGTTGAAATTGAAAATTGTGAATTGTGAATTGTACGAGTCTATTGTGAATATTGTCTTCATTGTTGTTGCTGTTGCTGCATTTGTACATACATACATACATACATACATACATACATACATACATACATACATACAT